ATGTGACACTTTGGTTGCTGGATAAGAATGATAGGAGCTTGAGAGGGGCAGTTTGCTGAGTACTAATATGACGATAAAGTCGGCCAAAACAAAATATGACTGGAGACAGAAAATAAATACTACAATTTCAACTAAAATTTAACTAATGTGTCAGGTGGACTCTACGAATTCAGACCAGGTAGAAGGAGCAAGCCTACTATTTGTTTGTTTCCAAGATCTCAGTATGTAGACAGGATGAAAGTGCATAACTACAAGTGGAGTTGGCATACGTTATTTTTTTACAGTTCAAGTGCGAGTGTTTACAGATAATTGTGGTGTTAGGCAGTTTCAGGACATGGTACTTTTTGTTTGCATAATAAAGAGCGGCACGAGCCTAATGAAGGTAGATCTTCCCTCCGCTAAGTATTATTGATACAACATTGTCGCTTTGGCAGGCAATTTGAGTCAAATGACTAAGTCTACGCAATTTTGAGTACAAACAATGTAATCCTTCTAATCTATTCGATTTCGTTGGGTTAAGCCCACTAAAGAAACATTACTTTATAATGTGGTAACTAAGTGGAAGTTTATCATGGTAGGACTTTTGAACAGGAAGCTGGGACAGATCAATATGAGAATATGTTCTGAGAAAACGTTGGTCTTGCATGATTAATGGTATATTAATAGTCTGTGGTGGTTTATGGCACTGTACTTGAAAGGAACCCCCAAAAAGCTTGATCGGCTTACAGTTACTGTAACACAAATTACGTCTAAGAATATCCAGGGCGATCTCATTATCCTTTGGAATCCATAAAAAACGTAACCGAAAACTATGTCAACTCGATTGAATATCTTCCTTCATCTGGTGATCCAGTGGTTAGAATTAGTGACTCGTCACTGTCGATCCTTGTATTGATGGTGATGATGATCCTCTCAAGAGTCATCAAATTCACAGTTCATTGAAGCTATTTACTTATCTCGTACTGGTTGCTCTCTACAATGTAAAAACATTGGAGCTTTATGTAGGAATTGATGAATATACTTTTTAGTATAAATCGTCATATCTCCAAATGATACTTGCTCTCCACAATGTATTCACATTGGAGCTTGTCTTGATGGTGGTTAAATATGAGTCATTTTTTTCAATCAGTCCTCTACAATGTACAATATAAAGCTTCATTCAGAAATACGTTTTATATAATAATAATAATTTATTGGTACTATTACATAAATATGTGTTTGCACAGGTCAGTTAGAGCAGAACATGAAAGAGTAAGTAAAAACAACAAACAATACGTAAAATAAGACAAACGTAAAACAAAATTTAAATCGGAAAGATCATAACTTTATGTCTGCTTGATATATACATATAGTTACTAAATATAAGTATGTTTTCATGTAGTATATACTCAGGCTGATAATAACATGTTTGCTTAAAATATCAACAACTTCCACATTTCTGTTCCTAAAACAGCTTGTCACTATGCTAAACTCTTCATTGGTGATGTTAACTTCTGACACTTTTGCTTTTCCATAAAGTAGATGACATAGCACTGAAAGTACCTAGATGTAATTTTGAAGTCCAGTCCAATATACATTGTTTTTGATGAATACAAGCTAGAAGAGTGATTTATTTTTATTTTCACGTAGGTATAATGCTGGATTAATTGAGGTACCACATGACAAACATCGCTAATATTTCAAATTCCACCTAAAAACCCTGAAAAACGATCCAAAACCAACATATCTGCATCAAAGTGGAGGTACAGTGATGCAATAAGATCACCCCGCGCTCTCAAAATCAACCCCAAATTCGACAGTGAACGCAGTCATCGTAACATCCACCGATTCCCCTGGTAGTATTTTTTACTTTGCACCCCTTCGTTTTCTAAGGGAGACCGACGGGCATACCAATGCGCTAGAAAGGGACGGAGCACCCAGCTGGATCTCTTAACTAAGCGCTCTCCTTATACGAGGGATATCCTAAGAGTGTAGATTACTCGTGGAAGTTCATGACGTGCAAGCCGCACATGTTGGTCGCCACCTTGATGTTCCTACCTACGGTCTTTGTACGAGATAAACAACCGTACGCGACGCGTGACGAAAACGTCCAGGGAAACGATCCGAATACACTCGCGAAGCACCTGCAGTACCTTGAATACAGTTACCGTGAATATCAAATGGGCACATTCGTTATTGCTGTAAGGGTCTGCCATTTCGGGTTAGATCCTCATGCATGTACTTAGTATAATAATAATGATAAAAGTCTTTATTCGCCAAACATCAACAAAAAACTTTTATATTAAAGTACAGGGAGTTTGGTGAAGGGCGTAGTTCAGATCTGCATCACTGATGTGACACACTTAACCTTTTTCAAGACTTTGGTGTAAGTGTTACTAGAAAAGTTTGCGTATTTCCACAAAAAAATATACGCTCGTAACAGCCGCATTTCTGTTATCAGCAACTCATCGTTAATGATCAATTACGATTGATAGGTGCCATTCCCTTGAGGTTCAATCATTCTTTGAAAGAACCAGACCACAGTTTAGGCGGAAAAACACATGTTTGGAGTCAGTGTTTCCATCACGAATAATATTTCTGGATAAAGGTTTTTTGGAGGACCATTTGTTCCTTCTTTTAACAAGTATATGGAAATACGTATGATTCTGGCACTTTCGAATTCGACTGAAAAAAACGGTGTCGACGGATGCATTGCTGGTTGTGGCTGGTATCCCGCCAATTGGTTTGCTTGCCGAGGTGGCATGTGTGTAAAAAGGACAGCAAAGCTAGATATGATGCAACAAAGGTGCTTTTTGTTAGATGCAAGGAGTGAGAGAAGCAGAGATTCCAGACAGTAGAATCTGGATTGACAAGGAAACGGTGCGGATAGAATAACTACATTGCAGATTCTCACAAAGCATGTTTATTTTGACAGGTAGCTAAATATGGTAAAAAAGAGAGTGTGCGCAAACTGGGTATGTTGCAATAACTAAGAGGTTACTTATGATCCTCCTTTCCAGAATGGTAGATGGGTTGACTACCAGAGACAGCTGAAATTGACGCTCGGTGAAAGGCTCGCTGCTGACAATTTGATTGTGAGGAGAATGATGCTGAGCAAGGCACAAGATAACAAAAACCGACCAACGACCCAACAGTAGATTTCTACTTGCTAAGTTGTGCATATACAATGCATATGCATGACGAAGGCTGACAGTGAAGATCCAAATACTGCATGGGGTTCGGCACCTTTTTGGAGAGTACGGTAATCAATGGTTATGAGCTGATTTAAGTAAAAACCAATCCTAAAAAATGAATGGTACTTAGTGTTTTGATTCCATATTGAGTGTGGATGAACTATAAAGCGACCCCTCGTATGCCGCGTGGAGAGAGACGAGGAACAACACAATATCATAGACCGCTCTGAGCCCTCTCTGCACATCTACTACGGAAATTTACCCGACAGAGACAACAACACAACCGGCACTGATCTGAGAGAGACAAATGCGCTACCAATAACCGCTGTAAAAATGAGACGGCACTATGCGAACCGCTTGAGTGCGAGAGAGATGGAAGATAAACAGTCCTCGGCGGATAAAGAGGAACGTATAATTTAAGCTGGGCCCAGTTTGCCATTACTAATGATTAAAAAAGAGGAAAGCGAGCTTCGAGACGAGACCGTGCGTTAAGTTGGAATGAATATAAGGAAAGTTGATTGTGTTCAATTCGATAGCTATTCCCGAACTGCAAATTATCATACATAATCGTTTGGAAAGGTCACCAGACATGAGTTATGTAAACAGCATACAGGTTTTGATAATGCATTCTTTGAGGTCGCACACAAGGTTGTCTATCATTATTTACATTTTCGCGATACCGAAACTTCTAATTTTGCTAGAGTCAGGACAATGCCAACATAGACAAAGAAATTGCTATCTGACAGCTGTCATATGGAAAATCATAGCGAAATAAACATAAATCATTGCAAAATAGGACTATATTGATGGGAATCGTTAAATGCCAAGTTGATGAATATATGAATTAGTTATATCATCATTTCTTATTGCTATTTCAGAAAATATTAGCAACTATAGTAGGTGTATGCACGTCTGTCAATGACAGTTTACAGGAACACATCTTTCCCTCTTGATTGGTGATTGTATATTGGTTTTGTCTTATTATTGATCGACAATCCTGTTTCATAGGTTTCATGTCTAGTACCTGTTTCCAAAAACCAATATAATTGTTCAGTATTATTGAACGTTTTAAGATTATGTGTTACGACAAAAGCACTTCAGTTGTTTTGTACTAAGGTTATTCACCGAATTCTTTGTAAACAATGGTTTTCTAGTTATTACAGCACTGACCTACGGATAGGAAAAACATAGAAATCGATTAATAAAAAAAATAATGAATGGTGGATTGCAATCTTGTCTTTATTAACGGTATTACGTCCGACATGTCAATAATATTTCAAGGTAATCTCGAATCTAAAAGGTTTATTAAGAAATTTGTCACGGTATTGTCCTCGTATTGTTTTTTATTAAAGAACAATGATTAAAAAATATACTCACCTTATACTCACCTGAGACTGGCATGGCCATAGGTAGCATTGCTTGAAGTCATATAATATTACAAACATGAATATGTACGTGCAAGTTTGAAAAAAAATGAATATAAAATATCTAAAAGAAAAACTACCAGTAATGTTAGGCAGAATATTTCTATTTTTGACATGACTCTCACACAAATATTCTTTATCACTGTTTACATTACGACTATTTAATTTTCAAATGTGATTATTTACAATAAATTACCTCATTAATATCCAAGTATTTACAAATAAAGATAAATAATTATCCGGCAAAATAGCATAATTTCAAAGTAATAAGGATTTATACATGCAAAAAAGGCCTTAAGTAAAGCAGAGACACACGTACAATCATGCTACGTAGCGGTAAAGTAGTGCAAAGCAGTCCGACAGGCCGAAAAGCGTACAACAATAGCATAAAAAATCACGTTACCTCTGCTGTGCATTCAACTGTCACAGACGGTCGTCATTCCAGCGTACATTGCGTTAAAGCCCGAACGGAAACCGGCAACGTGGCTTCGCGTACCAACCGGCAACGTCGCATCGCCTACATACAGAGATATAAATTGTATGTTAAAATATTCCCCGATTCATCCGCGGTTTTCACCGGGTTCTGGTGCTCGGAATCGAACAAAATTTTCACAGTAGGCTTGTTGAACGTTCGTACACACGGTACCGTCGTTGAACCGAAGCAATCCGTTGATTTTGAGGTAAATAAAGCGGAATTACGGACAACGTGTTAACACTTTAAGAATTTTCGGAACACTAGAGAAGCTTGTTTCAGTGCGATGTGCTTCGACCCGCCTGGCCAAGGCCCCGCCCATAGCCAATCGAGTGCCAGCGTTGCTATTGACGTCACGCGAAGATACCCGATTGCGGCCGAACGCCGGGCGTACAAAGCACAGGGAGCTTCGCATTCCATTTTGTTATGTTGGGACTGTATTTTGTCTTCTGGATTTATTTTTGGAAATTGTGGATGCCTCTCCGCGCTGGCTCGAATGGATTTGGAAGTGTAGATGCGGTGACTTTCAAGTTTTATTTTTGTTATAGACGTGCGGTGACTAGAGGCGTTACATTTAGAAATGGTCTGGTAACGATGGGGTTTTATTGTCGTAATAAAGTTGTGCTGTTAAAGCTGGTAGGCTGGGGCTATTGATGGTAAAGTTTTATTAAGGCAGTTCGGTAAAATGGCTTATTTCAAGTACACTGTGTGACTCAAGCGTTATACTGAGGTGGTGATCAGGTGATCTTATTTTGGTATACCTACCAGTGGCGAGATACTTAGGCATGTAGACAGATGAGGGCCCTATCAGCTCCGTCAGAATACCTGGCAAGATTGGTACGACTATGTTAAGCTGGAGTGTCAGTCAATGAATGGTTATAGGGATAGGCTTAAACTTGCTGACATTACGGTGATTAATATAGAGACACCAAGATTCTATCAAAAAAGATTATTGCGTAAAAGAAGAATATCGATCGATCTTTATTGATTGAAATATCGATCATAAAGGTCTGTTGAGCGTTGTAACTACTATGCCTGTAGATGATGAAAATACAGGGTGGTCCATAAGTCCTTTGAAATTTCAAATTTGAATAAAATTTAACGGGTGAGCGTGAGCGGCGCGGGCGAGGTGGGGGCAGTATCTTCAGTGTCTGGGAATTCAGTCGCCATGGAGTGTTTCACTGGAGCGGATCGTGCTTTTTGTGTGCGCGCGTTTTATCAAAATAATGATTCGGCAACCATTGCGCGGCGTAAATATCGAGAATACCACAATTAACACAATTTTACAAAGTGTCCAACAGCTCAAACGATTAAGAACTGGGTTGCTAAGTTCGAAGAGACTGGTTCGACGTTAGATAAATAGCGGTGGGGTCGACCAAGGATAACTCGTATTGAAGAAAACATCAACATTGTGGCACAGTCTGTTCGTTAAAATCCTACCCAGTCTACTCGTAAGCGTTCCAGTGCACTAAACGTACCCAGAACATCTTTACAGCGGATTTTAAGGAAAGATTTACGTATGCACGCTTACAAAATTCAGTTAGTGCAGGAATTAAAAGATAATGACGCTATTTAGAGACTAAACTTTGCGAATGAAATGTTGAATCGATTTTCTTTGCTCAATAATGTGTTGTTCTCGGACGAGGCTCACTTCCATTTAAACGAGCATGTAAATAAACAAAATTGCCGTTATTGGAGCCCCGAAAATCCAAATCGTAAGCATCAGAAGCCCTTACACAGCCCTAAAGTTACAGTTTGGGCTGCTATGTCAGCGCATGGCATCGTAGGCCCTTATTTTTATGAGGACGACCGAGGTCGCGCATTAACTGTTACTTCGGAGCGGTATGTAGCAATGATAGAAGAGTTTTTGACACCAGCGTTGTAGAATTTTCCAGGCTATAATACGCAGACCTGGTTTCAACAGGACGGAGCAACTGCCCACACCTCCAACACTTCTATGCCCGTCGTCTGTCAACTTTTTCCCAGCAAAGTAATTTCTCGAAGAGGAGACATTTCCTGGCCACCACGTAGTCCAGATTTGACCCCAATGGACTTCTTTTTATGGGGCTACCTCAAGAGTAAAGTGTACGACACCACTCCGCGATCAGTTGATGTCCTGAAAGAAAATATCCGAAGAGAAATGGCAAGCATTACAGTGTTGTCTTGCCGCGCAGTCATCGACAATTTTAGACGTCGTTTATATGAGTGCCGTGATCGTAATGGATTGCATTTAGACGATGTGATTTCTAAAACATAATTCCCATTCAATAAAGATGATAACAAAATATAATAATTCTTCATAATGTAACTAGTTTGGTTTTATTCCTTTTTTTCCAGCTCAAAGGACTTATGGGCCAACCTGTATATGCAATATTATTTCTCGAAAACGTCGTTGAGTACCTAAGCCCAATTTTAACCACCAGACACACGAAGAACCCTAAGAGCTTAAGCCATTTCCTGTCTTTTGCAAACTCATAAGATGAAAAAAATTAATTCAGATATCGGATGGTCTGCTATAGGTCTGGTACTCAGAGGCTACTTATACGAATGCAGATTAAAAAAAGGTTCATTTCACATGGATTGAAGGACTGAGATAAATATCTCTTATAAGGAACCTAAAACAAGTGATGTAATGTAGGCAGATGGTGGATGCGTCGTTTGAAGATTTTTGTCTATTGATACACGTTGATGTAGATGGACGAATACAGACAAGGCTGAAGAAACGTAGAAAGGCACACACATTATACTTGCTTCTAACATTGAAATTTAGCAGACGATTGGCTTCGACGTATTGTTCGTTACTAATCATTTCTGGAGGATTGCAAAAGGATCTTACAGAATGAATTTTAAAATAATGTCACATGTGTATTAAAATAACCTCTTCTAGATTTGATGTTGGACGATGATCATGTAGACAACCAAGACTGGCCCAGACATGTTTAATGTGGCTAGCTAACATGTAAAGTAACAAGAATGCTTCGTTTACGGTATTTGGGCGCCTATTTGGATGGCGTTACGTATAGTGCTACTAACATTACATACGGACAATTCCGTTCATCATTAAACCATATCCATCGGGAGTGGGCATTTGACTCGAACACAAAGGAACTGACATAAGCTAGGCTTGTGTCCAGGATTAAAGGCGAAGTGTAGGTGCATTATTTTTCGGGTGTATAGGGCTAAAATCGTATCACATGCGGTGCTTGTCTTGGTGCTCACTGTGATCCATTAGAAATTGATTTCTGACGTAGTTACTTTTAAACAAACTTGTGATACAAGCTTCTGCAGAATTTGTATCCAACTCGGAAACCAGTTTTAGGTACTTGTATGGTGTAATGTACTGGTTGTTAATACTGCATTTTTCTACAAAATTATGAGTATACTTTATCTGAAGTCACTTGAAATAGCATAAAAACCTTTGGTCGGCGCGTCCTTTGTAATTTCATGACGTATCATAGGCGTGCGGTCATTTATTTAGAACGATAATAATAATGTTTTTATATCACAATAAATGGATTTTGCTATCTTCTTATTTTTTTGATTTGGGATAAAAAATACTTATATTGGGAGTTTAATTTATGTTCACTGAAAGTTAAGAAATGGAAAAATTACAGAATTCCAACGTTTGACATAGGCAAATATTTACATAGTAGGTAGGTATATAAAAAGGTATATAAAGACTTACATTATAGGTATTTATATATCATCCTCGCCTTCGGAGCTAGCGCTAGAGTCATCTTGTAGAGGAATTACAACGGGATTTACAGGAGGCAAAACACAATATTCATTTTCTTTTTCAATAATATGCCTAGAACACTGCTTCCATAGGTCTGTGGCAGCAATATGAGATACTGCATCTCTTATTGTGGCCAATAGCGATTCACTTAATTGAGGGGTCTGATTATGTTTTCTTACTTTTTTTTTAAAGCAGCCCAGACCAACTCAATCGGGTTAAAAATGCAGTAATAGGGAGGTAGACGTAATACTTCATGGCCATTTTGCTGAAGCAGATTGTCAACAACATACTCTTTTTACAAATTTTTGTCTTTTAATAAGATCCAATAATATGGCTTTGGTTGATTTTTGTGGTATTTCCATTCCCTTATCCTTCATAAAATCAATAATGTCTTGTTTTTTTGTGCCTGTATTCGGAATTTTGTTTTTCTGTCGGGAATGGTATGGCGCATTGTCCGTAATAATCACTGAATTTGGGGAAATGTTTGGTATTAACTGCTGCTCTATCCACTTTTTCAAATAAGTCGGAGGTCATGTCCTCATGATAGTCGGCACATGATTCTTTGATATTTTTGGCAGATAACAGCAAGGCATTAGGTATAAATCCATTTTCACTGCCAGCATGGAGAATAATGATTCGTTTTCCACGGTTGCATGGTGCATTTAAAATGCACTTGTTGCTGTCGTCAACCCAGCCGTACTGCACAACATCATGGGTATCATACCACGTTTCATCCAGGTAAATCAGATTTCTTTTCTGCTCTCTATAGATTTTAACTTTGTGCAAAAATTCTTGGCGCAATTCAACGATTCGAGACGACTCCATAATCACCATTATTTTATCTAATTTTTTGTATTGAAAACCACACAGTTTTACAATACAGTGCAGTGAGTCTAAGCATTTGTAATTATAAAAATCTTCAGGATAATCTTTTAATTTATCCCGTATCATTTCCAACGTGGGCACCAAATTTTCTTTATAAAATCCGTATATTATACGACGAATATCTTCCTGAAAACCCACGTCTATTCTTTTTAATTTTTGCCCTATGCGCTTTCTGTGGAAGGAATGGTTGACTACATCTCCCCTTTTTATAACCCGATAAATGGTAGACCGACTGATTTTTGTCAGGATACAAATTCTGTTTAAAATTTGATTTTGCGAGGAATCAGGATTTTCGTTTTTCAGACAATCATACATATTTAGGATTACTCTTTGGGTCTGTTCCTCTAAATCTCTATGAAAGAATTCTGCCTGCACAGGTTCATCAACCATTTCTTCGTGGCTTGGAGCATTTTCCCAAGGTCTCCAAAGAGCCATATTTAGGACACACAAGAACAATCAACACAACAATTAAATCAACAAGTAAACTGAGTATTCAAAAGTCAAAAACACACAAACTAATAAAATCTATGAAAAAACACGGACAGACTAAAGAAAACACGTTTATTCACCGCTACACGGCACTGGCTAAACTGTTTCAATTTTCAGTAGCCACCTGCACTTGTTCGGAGCTCTGA